TATATAGTTTTAAGAGTAAAATAAAACACAGTTAACAGATTTTTTATTGTTGTAATACAAGTATAAAGGGAGATTTGGGAATGTACATGGTATTACCTCATCCTTTAATTTCAGCTTTCCCCTTTTTATTTTGCTAACAGTACTATCAGTAAAATTAGTCTCATAATATTTGATATCTTCTAAAAAGTATAGAACATCATCATCTCTAGAAAGTGCTTTATCGGTACTAGGAACGATATATGTATGCTGCCATTTATATAAAATAGGGCAGTTCGTAACTCTTTGCATAAATTGCTATTTCAACTGTATATTTAGATTTAGTGACTTTTATTTCAAAACTCAGCTTTAGAAAAACTATAATTTTAACAAAAACTGTAAATTCAAACTGAATAGAAGATTTGTAGTCATTGCACTTTTTTTCTTAAAAACAAAAAACAAATATTTTCCTCAAAAGAAAAAGTAATTTTTGGGTAAAAAGTGTTACCGTTTGGGCAACAAGAGTGAATACGGATAATCCACTTAAGTTCTACAGTACATTTTTTCTACTACCCATTATCGCAAATCTACAAAATTAATTTATAGGTTATTAGATGAAATAACTATTACTTACTTAAAAATAAAATTTTAAAATATGAATCTTAATCCTAGATTTGAACACTGGACCTTTCGTATAGGAACTCAGTACATTATCTCTATATTAACTAAATAAACAAGATTTTTTTATTACTGTTAATTAGATTGGTTTTAGATTGTTTTATTAAAATTTAAGATTTATTTATTCACAAGAATCACTCATTTTTAATCTCAATAATTAAAAAATATACTGACAATTAGTTTGACAGAATTATCACTTATTTAAAATTATTAAATATACTGTTACGCAGGTTTTTGATATCTCAATGTATTTAAACTTAACTTTTACAACAACTATTCAACTGATAACATTAACATGTAACGTCTATCATAAAACTGAAAACTGACGTCAGGATCATCCTTATATAGCTTGCTTGACCCTTCTCGAATTGTCATCTAGAATATTCTTGACGGGTAATGACATTTCCAGACATTTCGGGACTATTCCATCTTCTTTTACTTGTACTTTTACTTATAACGACCACAGCACATAGTAGAGCGATAAGTAACATTCCACTTCTTTTTCTATGTGTACGTTTCCTATAATAGCCGCAGGCTAATGGAGAGGATCTGGACCATGAAATGGAGCTATCTTCCCACGCCTGTCGATTCTAGCTTCTGCTTTATCGGTGTGGGCTTTCAGTCGTTTCCGAGCGAATCCATAGACCTTTGTCCTGCCATTGCATACATCACATTTTTTACACCAATCCGCTACATCCCGTCGGCAATTGACTCAATAAAATCTTTCCCGAACTCGTGCCAGTGCCCTTTTAGTATCAAAGCTGCTATGAAGCTCCTCCAATACATTTCTCCCCTGTGACCTCGGCAGTATCACTTGGCGGACTACATGTACCCCATCGGGGCTCTCCCACTTCCGCTGCAATAGGCCATCGTGAAGATACAGGGAATCACACTGGGCCCAGTAGCCATTTATAGTTCTTCTGTATTTGGCTATCTCTTGCCAAGTAGGTGTAACTTTATTTTTGAGCCATTTTCGGACAATCTTTAAGTCATTGTCTCTCTTCTGTCCCTGTCTCAGACTTTCAAGGGTGATTTCTTCTTCGTTGCCCTCTGGCTTGATAGTGGTTGCCCGAAGAGTAAGTTTATCAACCGGTTCTTCTCGTTCTGTGAGCCTTTTACCATACCAGCATTGTTCCTCTAAACGGTGTTGCCCAAAGAGAATGTCTGCATTGTTATGGAGACCTCTTCGATGCTCTACTTTCTGGTTATTATTAGAAAGCCGACTCGGTATGGGTGATTGGCTTCTTCGGGACGCATAGCTGCTGTAATTAATTCTTGTTGATCTTAGTGATGGGCTTGGGAAGATTGATATATATGATTTTCCGGTCTCTTCCGCTGATTCTCGATTTATAGAATGAGTCATGCTTCTACAGGTTCTTTGAAGATGCCCGATTCTCCCGCAATTGAAGCATCTCCTGCTTCCATTTTGGCTGTATCGTTGCATATTTCGTAGGATATTTAAGATTTGGGGAATAGCATTAGTATTGGCCTCCTCACTTTCTTGGGATTTAATTCCCTCACTTTTGCGCGAGAAGATCTGGATAGGAGTTTTACCGCTTCATATTCCTGGGCTGCAATCAGTTTCTCCCGCAGTGTCTTGTGATGTTGTAGACGTAGGACTCTATTCCAATTTGTTCTTGGAAATCTTTGGGCGCCTGTGGATAGGCCAGATGAATCAATCTTCTTATGTCGGCCCCAAATTCCTGTAGACTCTCATTATGTTTATGACTACGAATTTTTAGCTGGCTTTGAAATACCCGTTTTAAATGCTGCTGGCCATATCTTGTTTCCAAAGCTTGGACGAGAGATGAATAACTTGGTTCTTCTTGAGAAAGTAACTGTAACACGATTGATGCTTGTCCTCGCAGCGACACTATCAATGCAGCCGCCATCTCCGTTTCAGCCCAGCCATTGGCTCTAGCTGCAGCTTCAAATTGGAGGCGATACGTTTCCCATGTTGTCTGCCCGTGGGTGGCTTAATGATCTTGCTAGTATGGATTTGTAAAATTGGGTGTTGAATATGGCTTGGTTCGATTACAGATGAGGACGAGGTAGTGTTTTTAGCTTCTCTGTTGCTTATCGAAGCTAGGCTACGAATTCTTCTTTCTAACTCAACTAGTTCAGTTTTAATTTGCCTTTCGAACTCTACTCTAGCCTTTTCCTGTTGTTTTAAATTATCTCGTTGTTGTTCTAAATTAGTTTTTAAATGCTCTTGCCGCTGTTCTAAATTAGTTTTTAAATTTTCCTTCTCTTCTTCCTTCCTACGCCTTTCCTTTTCCTCCTCTTCTTCCTTTCTACGCCTTTCCTTTTCCTCTTCTCGCCTTACTCTCTCCTCCTCTTCTTCCTTCCTTCGGCTTTCCTTTTCCTCTTCTTCTTCCTTCCTAAGCCTTTCCTATTCCTCCTCTTCTTCCTTCCTACGCCTTTCGTTTTCCTTCTCTTCTTCCTTCCTTCCTTCCTACGCCTTTCCTTTTCCTCTTCTCGCCTTACTCTCTCCTCTTACATCTTCAAAAACCATGCTGGTGGGCCTGAAGTATCCATGCCTGCTTCGTACTCAGTGGATCTAGTATTTACCATAAACTTTTACTTTGTATCCCACCGCTGTCACCAATGTTACGCAGGTTTTTGGTAAACAATTCGTTTTAGTTCGATTAATTATTAAAAAAATTGCTAAAAAAATTTTTTCAGCCGTGGGGATTAGAACCCACGATCGGTGAGTCTGGCAATCGAAAACCCGCGCCTTAGACCGCTCGGCCACGAACGAACTTGTGTTAGTGGGATATACTGACAGTAATAAACCACTTGCTTTTAGTCCAAAGAAGAGTTACAAACATACATACAGGTGAAGCTAATATAAGCGTGTTAAAAACTGTTTTAAGACTGTTTTAGACTACAGAAGTTTTTGATACAATTTCTTGTACAATATAAATTGTATATTATCAAACCTGCAGTAAATTGTTTGAAAAATTAGATTGAATAATCAGTTTTCAAACAATTTACTATGTGATCTTATACAATTTAAATTCTATAAGAAATTGTATCAAATCTTGTACAAGAAATTATATAGTCAACACAGTCTTAAGACGGGTGCCCTACTTCACTGGTTCAAATGAAAACAACATATCTTAACCTAAAAATACTTACCGATGAAAGGATAAATTTCGATTTAAATGATCTACCTTATTGAACACTACACATACATAGCATGTACCATAATTCTTTATATTTCTCATAAAAGTTCACAAAAATAGTATTTTATAAATGAATAAATCAATAAGTCACACAGAAACTGTCAGAAACACAAAATAGCTGTTATACCCGATTGGCAACGTTGCGGCTGGTTACGGTAACTGTATTTCATTCATAAAAATTAGTACTAGTTGTAAATTCGTAAAATATATTCGTAAAATATATTCAGCGTTGCCGTATTTACGGTGTTCTTTGCAACCCTAATATTTTGTTTAGATTAATATTGATTTTTAATAAAAAATTTAGCTTATATTAAAACTTTAAAGAATAATTTGATTAAAAACATATTTTTATTTATATAATATAAAATTATTGTTATAGGATACATAAAATTTTATTTTTCGAAAGTAATTTCTCCAAATAATTTTTACAGACTGATAAAACCGCAAAGACGCAATAAACGAGAATCTGGTGGGAATAATGATTTGCCACATAAAAATATAAACAATTTGGTCTCTTAGTTGTAATGTCTTTATAATATTCTCAGAACAATCCATTGTTTTTTGTATTATGCTAGAAATGTCAAATTTATGAAAGCAATACTTAAAATAAGCACTTTTGAATTTAATGCTGGCTCGAAATTTAAAACATTGACCTAATATTGTGAGGTATTGGTACAATTACCTTACTTTCATCCTTTCCACAGTTATTAACAAGGGTATTTCATAGTTATCACAAAAAATGTCGGAATTGACTATACAAGACTGATGATAACTCATTGAGCCGAAATTTGTAGCAACCACTATCTTTTATTGATAAATTTATTATATCCAAACTTAAGTTTTTATACATTTTAAATATATCATTTGATCAAACATGTTCTTTATACCTTTAGAAAAATCACGGAGTACAAATTAGTTAATGTCGATGTAAAGTGGTGTAACAAATGGTACGTACGTCTAGTGTTTACATTTTCGAATCATGACTACCACTTTCTGCAAGACCTAAGATCTAACGACTGCGTAACAATGTGAGTTGCCGATCTACTACCACTAATTTTGGCACCGGATTTGAATCTGCTTTAAAAAAGTATAACAATTATTTAAAATTAATATAATATGTAATCTTTTATATCTAAATATATTTGTTCTTTGTTCAAGGATTCGCGCGGAAAGAGACCGTTCAAACTATGGGACGGACGACGTAACGTGCGGAAGGGGTTGGTGGTCGGAAGCCTCGACGAGCTAGTACAACGGGGAAGAGACAAACTTGGGCTGTCCCTCGGCGAGCCGGTGAGGCTGGTCCTCGAGAGCGACGGCACGCAAGTTGAGGACGCCGAATATTTTCGGACTCTTCCCGCTAACACCATCCTCTTGTTGCTTCGACCTGGAGAAAGATGGCTCCCTGCAGGCGTGGATGTCATCAGGGCTGGTAAGTACCTATATTTGTATAGGCACTTTCGTTTTTAGTGATCATTGCGGATGAGTATATATACACTTATATCCTCAAGGTGTAAACGGAATTAGGGCAAATATTTCAACAGGTGTCCATAATATAACTCAACATGTTCCTTTAGATCCACCTCATTTTCACTCTACTCTGGCTCAGTTATCCAATAATCAATAACCGATCACTCAAAGTTAACGTCACTGGAATTAATAGCCCAAGAGCCCACTGCAAATGTTTACCGTCATCTGATAACGAAATGAAATATACCCCAAAAGCATGTAAAAACATTTTACTTTATCAAATGGAACCTGTGCCAATCCCAATCCTAAGCAAAGTGGCTTAAAAAATTATTTTATTTTAAAAAAATCACATGACAGCGCTAATTTTGTTCGCCCTTAAAGTTTTCCAGAAAATAATATTCAAATATATCTTGATATATATCGTTAAAGGGAAACATTTCTTTCCTCTTAACATCGCACAAAAAAGATCTATCCACGATTGGTAATAATGGTAATAATCATTAAAAATATGAATCAATTTTTGCTGATTTAAAAATTTATTTGTATGCCTATTGTTGTGATTCAGTTTTACAGATTGCCATAGAAACGACAAAAAAACTACTATGATTATGGTTTAAGAGAATTGTCTAACAAGATTTTATAATTATTATTGACTATCTCTGCAAATGGTCTATACAATGCCATGCTTCTTCCTTTCACACATAAACATGGTTTAAAAGGTAGGTAAAAATATTAATAATTCAGGTTTAAAAGCTAGGTTCACAATGAATTAGGGTTGTAATTTTCAGCGAAAACACAATTGTCGCTGTCATGTCTTATGTGCTTTTTTGAATATAAAATAATTTTTTGTTACCACTTTGCTCAGAATAGGTATTGGTACAGGTACAATTTGGTAAAGTACAATGTTGTTACATGCCTTTGGAGCATATTTTATTTCGTTATCAGATGACGGTCGAAATTTGCAGTGGGCTCTCATACTATAACGTTTGATATATCTTGTGAGATAGAATAACAACAAAGATTAATAAAGTTTTTACCTGACGTTAATATTAACGGAAGTAATTTAAAAGAGTTTTTTGTTAATTATTGCACTTCAGTATACGAAAGGTACCCGCGCCATTGATTCGGGATCACTGTCGATTTTCATTAAAGTTTAATATATTTATATAGATGTCAAAAGAAGCAACTTGCTTTGTAGGTGCTCAGGGTAAGTCACTAAACCAAGTTAATCAAATAATAAAAAAATCTACCATTATAAATATAAAAATCACTAAACAATAATAAAATAATAGATTTTTAAAAACTAATGTACGGACCTTAGCAAAAAACTTTATTTTCCTCATTTTGTAATTATTTGATGATACAACCACTTCCTTGTCGTCAACAGCAAGATGCCACCGTAGTTGTTTACGAATCGTGCAGTAGACTTATGTCAAAGCAGCTACATATGTCAGGTTTTGCTGTATTTTTCATTATTATCAATTTTTAAAAACATTGTGTCTCTATTGTGTTTTATTATAATTTAACAAAATTCAACTCCTCTATCAAAATCTTCAAAAGTTCCTGTACTTACTTTGTAGGGATGCCAGGGGATTTCAAAAGTTAACAGAACATCATCTAGTTACTTGTTTTTTAATATTGGTTTTTTATTACCTTTAGGGAGTTCTTTTACATGACCAGTTCTCTGAATATCTTCTTAATTTTACTAACTGTGGATTGTGAAATTGGTTCTCAGTTTTAGATATTTATTATTAAATAAATTACATATCTTGTCCTTGTCCTTGTTCTGTCTCCACAACCAATCATTAGAATTAGGCATTCCAAACTGAATGGCTACCAGTGGGTTCTAACGGGTTATGATATGGCAAAATTATGGCAACCCTGTAGGCCTGGTGATTTGACAAGGTCAATAAAATAGATAGTTGCATAGATTGATCATCCATATTTTTCAAAATAAACATAAGCTTATGCCTTGAAGTAAAAATGTAAGCAATTTTTTTTTTAAATATCTAAAGGCTAAAAATTGGTTTTAAAACACATTTTTGCTAAACCGATTCAAATTAATAAATATTTGCCAGGCAATATGGCCGCTCGTAAACGACCAACTTTGAGCAATCTATATAACTATATATGTATCATTGACCCTGTTAATGACAACATGACAACAGGGTTGCCATATCTAAACTGTCATTACCCACTGGTAGCCATTTGGACAGGTCATTGGAATGCCTAATTTCAAATCTCTCGGTTTCACTTAACTTTTTAACACGTATACTATTATTGTCATCACAATTAACCACTTGACAGCAAGTCAATAAAGTTCATTTTCAATATCTCGTAGCATTTTTGATAAGGTACCTAGACTGTTTATTCCTTTTTTTTATTAGACCAAAATAATTATTAATTTGTGTTAAGAAATCTATTAGGCATTCCAACGACCCGTCCAAATGGTGACAAGTGGGAACTGACAGTTTAGATATGGCAACCCTGTGGGCCTGTTATCACTGACAGGGTCAATGATACATATATAGTTATATAGATTGCTCAAAGCGGGTAGCCAGATTGCCTCGCACGTGCTCATTAATCAGAATCGGTTTAATAAAAATCTGATGTATCCAACTCATGACTTTCCTATCTAGTTATTATAGGCTTTTTCCGGTTATTTTGTACAACCTATTGCAGCACCTCTATAAATGTTTAGAGGATAAACTAAATATATACATTTTCCACATACATCTAACTCGAAATATTTTTCAATAGATATTCATTGAAAACGAAAATACTGAAAAAATTAAATTTAGCACTTTTCCTCCAATTTTTCCATTATAGTCCAATTAAATAACGAAAAAAAAGCCCCTTCGAGCTTACATTAATTTGTAATTGGATGAAACAAAAAGGACCTTGTGTATTTTGATGTGATCTTTCCGAAAAAAAAGAAAAAAAGATGTAGCAGTTTTTCAATTTTTTTTAAATTAGGAAAAACCGGGTTTTCCGGAATTTTCCATTGTAAAAATGCTAATTATCTGGGCAAGTATCATTCCAATAGTGAAAATAAATGCACCATTCAAAAGAGGAGGCAAAAATAGTTCGGAAATTCATTGCACAGGTAGTTTTAATGGCGAATTTCTCGCCGCCAGAAGTGCTTTTACCAAAAAGTCGTTCTTTCGTTTTTTTGATCAGAACCATGGACATGAAATTTGCGATGAATTTGTGGCGAAATTATAAATGTGCCCATGAGAGAAGTTGCGTATTTTTTTGTTGGCTCTCAAATAAAATAAGTCCCGCGGCGAAATCTGCCATAATTTTTCGGTAATTCGCAGGAAACCGGAAGGCGTAGTTTTTTTAAATTTTTTTCCCATATGATTTTTTCCGGGTTTTCCGAAAACATCTAACAAAAAAAATATATTTGAAAAATCTAAAAATGTTAGGAAATTAATCCTAAGCCTGAGTGTAACTTTCAACTTGGTGATAAGCTTGCTTTTTGTTCTCTAATATCTGGTTTTTAGTTATTTACAAGAAAACTTAAAATGGGAGAAGATATATATGCATGACAAAAATACGTATTTTCTAGTTACGTTCCAAATTTTTTGAAAAAAATTGCAAAACAATTTTTTCTTAATTTCTCGTACTTTTTTCTTAATTAACTCGAAAACTAATTATCTGAATAGAAAACTGTTTCCATCAGATGATAGAAAAAAAAAGAAAAACACGAAAAACTGTAGCTTTCACTGTTTTCTGAGCGCACGTGTGCAAAGATCGGTAATTCTCGCGAGAATTGAAGCTACTCGAATTTTCTGGCAATTGGGAGAGAAAGTAAGCTTGTTTCTCATTAAACTTACTGATTCTAATATACTTATTTTCAGTCTGTAAAGTGCCCAAATTAACGGAAAAAATCGACGGTGTGCTTGTTTTTTCTCAAAAAAAAGGGAAATTGTTGGATTTAAGAAAAAACCACTCGTTTTACGAGCAATTTTCTTAGCACAAAAAATGCGTAGTTTTCGGTCATATTTCGAATGTCATAGGTCGCATTGCAAATCTGCAATAGTTCACCCTCTGCAAGTGTCTGATGACATAATAAACACAGGCCAGTCATTGCAACCTGGAAACAAAAAATTATAGCACTGTGAACGTACTTAATCAATAAAATGCTGAAGAAGTTCGAAAAGTCACGTGTACACAGAGCTTGCTGAACACGGTTATTAAAAATCTATGCCGATGAACACTATCAAGCGATTCAATTTGTAAAAATATGACCGTTTGAAGTTTAAACTTGTCAGATAGCGAACGCCGAGACCATTACTATCCTTGATGCGACGTGCGGCTAATTTGGCGGTAATTCTATATTTTGAACAAAACTCAAGAAACGTCTTATAACAAGTCAGTAAAATACAATTTAATAAATTTTAAGCCTAATAAATTTAGATATGTAAGAAATTTAAAACTGGAAATCGCAAAAAAATCAAATTACAGTAATGTAGTGTATACACGAGTTTTGGATCCCGCGGAGCGCGTGTAATGGGACTTTTGTCGGGAAAATTCTACAACTTAGAAGAAACATACACACTTTAAACTTTGTATACACATTTAAAAGACATGAAATTTGGGTTTGCTTAATTTTCAGACCAAAAAACTAAAAATTGTCAATTTTAGGCAACTTTTCTCAAAAACCGTGTTTTTTGGTCGTCACTCAATGAACAGTGGTCAAAAAAATAGATAAAATATATTTGCAGAATTTTCCGTAATGTAGACACAATAGAGTACTCAAAAAAAAAGTTTTGAGCCATTGGGTGCATTTTTGGCATTTTTGTGCCACTTCAAACTGGAAAAAAAAATTATTTTTTTTTTATGGAAAAAATTTTATTTAATTTTATATCTTAGCCAATTATGGTCCGATGTAGGTGAAATTCACACACACATAATATTTCACATTTAAGAGTAAGCTTTGTAAGTGGCATTAAAAAA